AGTGCTTCACCACCCTCCTAGTGAAACAGTGTTTCCTAATATCCAACCTAGACCTCCCCCACTGCAACTTGAGACCATTGCTCCTTGTTCTGTCATCTGCCACCACTGAGAACAGCCAAGTTCCATCCTCTTGGAACCCCTTCAGGTAGTTGAAGGCTGCTGTCAAATCCCCCCTCACTCTTCTCTTCTGCAGACTAATTCCCTCTCCTGGGAGGCAGAACAGGCATCTAGGACTTCACAGCTGTCATCATGCCTGCACACCATGGCCAGTGGGAACTTCACAGCAACAGCAAAGATAGAATCCCAGTCTATCTACTCCAACACTACAGGTGCCTATCATTTAAAGTAAAGGAGCACCTCCTGTGATGCTGGTAAATCGATGCCAGCTCTTGCTAAAGCAATAGGTGTCATCTGACAAACTCATAGCTAGAAATCAGATCAGCTCACCTGTATGTTAATATTGTTCCCAACAGTTGTTAGCCTTGTAAGGATGTATTTGGTGTCTAGACTACTGATGGGGTGTTTACACAACACAAGGCAGAGTCAGGAAATGAGGATAATTAACCTGATAAGCTGCACCTGAGGAAGGGCCAGGGATTAAAGGTCTGATTGAGGATGGAGTCCAGCTGGGGAGGAGCAGAAGGGACTGATATAAAGCTAGGAATCTGGCAATAGAAAAGGGCTATAAGGGAAATAGTCTGTGGTTGCTCCTAGGAGAAGGGAGATGTGTCTGAGGCTACAGTGCTAGGTAGCCTGCAATTATTACTCCCTGGGAGAAGGGAGATTAGGCTGGTAAATCCAGAAGGCTAGGGGAGCCATAAGGTAGAGCTGAGATGTAGGAGGGTGTCTGGGGAAGAGTAACAATACCTAGCAGTGAGCAGGTCACTGTCCCTAGAGATAAGAGTCCATAGACTGGAACCTGGAGTAAGTGGCTGGGCTGGCTTCCCCCACCAGCCACTGAAGAAGTAGCACAGTCCAGGCAGTGAAAGGAAGACTGCTATTTTGTATAGAGAGCCTTTCCTACCCCAGAAGGGGAGGACTATTGCCAGATTACTAGAGGGCTGAGTTGTGAAGGAGCACCCTGAGTCCCAGAGAAAAAGAAACAGGGAGAGGGACTGACTGAAGGGGCTGTTGGAGCTGCAAAGAGCTAATCCCCAGAGCAACCAGGAGGGGGTACCCTAGCTGTGAGTGGACCCTGTGAGAACTCTCTAAAATACTTGAGTTGCTGCATGCATTAATCTTACTTGTGATGGCTGTATCCAATCCTATAAGGCAGAGGTCCCCAAACTGTGGGGCATGCTGCTCTAGGGGGTGCAGAAGAATGTTTGGGGGAGTGTGGCAGGGCTCAGGCCAGTCCTGACAAGAAGTGGGAGCAGCTCCTGGGGAGGGGCATAAGCAGATTACATTGGAGTAAGAGGGGGCTCAACTTAAAGTTTGGTGACCACTGCTATAAGGTAATATGTAAGTCTTGCTTTACAACTGTAAAAATACCTGCTCTGAATTTGTGAACCTAGGCAGGAAGAGTGGTTCCCTCGCCCATCAAGGACTATCAAAAGTAAATGGGCCACGGTAGGACAAAAACTCCATTGATTTGCCTCCTTAACCCATGAAGTTATGAGCAGGAGCCCTCGTCTCAAAAGTTTGAGCTCTGGGAGAAGGACCTATAAGATGCTCACAAGAAGAAATAGTTCTCTCCTGCTGTTTGGACTCTTAAAAGGGCTGGAGCTGAGAAACGAAAGTAAAGATCTCCAGTGTCAAGATGGGTTAGTTCTAAGAATCTCAGTGGAGAGATTACTACAGGTCTGTCACCTTTTGGAACCTTGGATCGTAACTCATTTGTTTTTATACATTGCCTGCTTGAACATGTGAATAACTCTAATTTCTTTTTACTAGTTAATGATCTTTGGTGTGAGATCTAAGGTACAGATTGGTTTGGGAAGGATCTCTTGAGACTAGGAGCAACCTGCATACTTTATTTTTGTGTAAGTGACCATTTTTTCACTAAGTCCCACATGCCTGAATAGCAAGATACACTGAAGTACCCAAGGGGACTGTCTCTGACTCCATGGTCAGACTGTTGCAGTGATCCAGGAGTTAACATTTGTTACTGGGTTGGTGAAATCTAATTATAGAACATACCCCCAGCTTGGGGTGCCTGCCCTGAGGTTGGCACTTACAGTCATGATTTACTCTAGACAGAGTGACACTTCCTTTAAAATTGTTAGCAATATAGGGAATAGGACACACCACTGATCAACTCTGATTCCATCCTGTAGTGGGCAGTGGTCTACATGTTATAGATGGGGAAACGGAGACACATGTGGTGTATGAAATGTTCTTTCTGCTGAAAGCTGATGCATAATTTTCTGTCACTAACCTGGTGGTAATGGTGCAATTTTGTTCTTCTGTTTCTAGAATGTCTCAATCAAAGGCAAAGCCTCAAACACATCTCCAGGATGCAAAATAACAGACCTACTCCAGCCCTCCTCTAGAGGTGAAATGATTGGCAGTCTACTGACAGGCCCCAAAGGATGTTCATTTTTTCACTCTCTTGCAGTGAGTGGCAAAACTCCTCTGGACTCCGGTGGGAATAGGATTGGGCCTGTAAAGTAATCATGAAGATCTTCCCTACTTAGATGCGGGTAGGGACTGTCTCTGTTCTGTGTTTGTACTGCACCTAGAACAATGGGGTCTTGATGATACTAGTAATATTAAGCAGATGAAACACACACCTGTCAGCTAAACTGTAGCAAGATGTGGTTTAGAAAAATAGATACAGACAACAGGGATGCTGAGGCTGCCAGAGTTCAAGCTCCCAGGAGCCTGGGTAGGGCATTCTTTTGCCTACTGTGGATCTCTCTATCACTAAAGATCAGCTGAGCTGCAGTCCCATTAAGGACTTGATCCCAAGCCTGTTGCAGTCAGGAGTGCTAAGAGCATAATGCAAGACTCCCCTTTATATGAATGTAAACAGGGATTTACCGGAAAACCAAGAAATCAAAGGGATGGGCAGAGAATATGGCCCTAATTAGACTACAGTGTTAATGCCTGCATATGAGACACAGATAACTGCACTTATGGGTGAACAAGAAATTCATAGCTAGTTAGATAAGATTAGATCTTAAAATATGTGGCATGTATTAAAGTTAATTGGTTGCACAAAGGAAGAGGTAGCAATCCAAGCTCAGCTACATTTTGTTGCAACATTTCTTCACCATCCTATAATTTATCAGAATTCAAACAGAACAAATCAATAGTATGACCATCCAAATTCAGATTTGACACCCCACCTGCCATTTGGAGAAAGCAGATGAGACTATGGAAGTCTGTGTTCAGCTAATTGTTACTGCAGATATCAAATACTGAATATCCTGCCCCAATAAGATTTCTATCAAACTCAGTGTGTTCTGTGAAATCATGTGTTTGAAGTCTAAGTCAAATTACCATCTTTCCTTTGGTTTCCCACTGGTTCTCTTTGTTCCTGGGAACTCTGTTGGATCATGTGGTGATAAAACAGATTTCTCAGGGGGGGCCAGAACAGCCTTGTAGGACATGAAATGAAGCCTTGAAGTGATGTCTCATTATTGCCAATGATATCTGCACAGTTCTAATGTTCATATTTGAATCATTTAAATCTTTCACATGCTTCCCCAGAATAAAGTGCAAACCCAACAACAGTTACCGACAGCTGCAGGTGGATCCAGATCATATAACTTGGGGGCTTAAAGGGAAAGAGACCATAATTCTACACTGGGAAAACTCCACCTCTGAATGTGTGACCTGCTCCTAGGGGCTTCTGAGGATTAAGAGACACTTGTATCCCCTTGTCTTTAATTTCATTGGGCAGAGGCAGACCCTGAAAATATCATTTCTAAATTGTGCTGATTGTGCAACATCCCGACATGCTTCTCGCAAACAAAGAAAGCGACAGGCCTGCAACTGATCAACCACCATGACTTGAGAGTATCACCTGTGTCCGCCTCAGTCTGTTTAATGCCCAGAGAGGAAAATGACCAGCAATTTAGTGGATTCAATCAGTGTACTAACCTTGACCATTCCAGAAGGCAAAATGACAGATCGGCCCCTATGCTCCCCAACCTTAACCATAAACCCCCTAGAGTGTATCCCGGAGAGATGCAGCAAATTTGGCTGTATGGGGAATTTGCTGCTGCTTTTCTCTCTATCTCTCCTCTCCCCCCCCCCCCCCCCCCACCTGGGAAGCATTCCCAGTGAAATCTTTCATATTCCTAAAGTGCAGTAAGGCTAGGACTCACTAAAAAGCATGGAATTGGCACAAGGGTGAGGAAGCTGCAAGATCCCCCGCTTAGATTCATAGGTTTGGTTGGGGTGCCAACAGGGTGGGAGTATTTGATATTCCCCTTTTATGAAAGGTAATTACAAAATGACACTGCCCGCTCCTCGCCGCCGCCTCCTCTGATCCCTCTGGGCAGCGCCCCCTAGCGATTATCAGCCAGATGTGCCATTTTCCAATAAACAAAGCGGTACCCCTGAAATCAACTTTGAATTTTTTTTTTATTCTCCTTTGGTGCTTGTTTGCCCCCCCCCTCCACTTCCCAGCCCTGGGGGTTTGATTCGTAAAGCATAGAGCGGTGCAAACCACCCTGCTTATTCAGCAATCTCCAAGTAAACGCAGAACGAATGCCTGGCTGGCAAAGGGTTTTCCTGCACTGTACAACAGAGGATCGCAATTTTTCCCCCATACTGTAATTTTCCCACGGTGTAAAATACGGCTTGATCCATGCAATAATCCTTCCCCTTCCGCGCCCCCCCCCCAGTCCAGCCAAAAGAACCATTAGTAACAACCTGCTAAATTTAGTTGACTAGTCATGATCTGGTATTAATAGCAGCAGCATTCAAGACATGCCCTGCACACAGTGTGTCTGTGTGCGTCCGCAAACCTGAGACACACACACAATGCAAGGGGCGGACTGGACTGCAGTGAAAAATACAGAAAAAACAAACAAACCCCCTCTACTCACACAACTAGCCTGGAGATGATCCATGACACCATGGCGCTGTGTGCAGGGGGTCGCTCTCTTGCCAGGGAGGGGTCTCCCTGTTTCTCCGTCCCTGAATATGTCTGTCTGCGGCTCCCACCGGAATGAGCAGGGCGAGCGGCTCAGCCATTCAGCATTTCAGCGCAGCCTCACTCCGCGCAGCTGCTCACGCCAAAGGGGCTCCAGCGAGCGGCTGCGGAGGGGATTGGGCAGGACATTAGGAGTCATCGACGGCTGGGTGCACCCACAGCTCTGCAAGCCCCGTCTGCGTTTTCACTTTCTCTCTGGCTCCGGCCTCTCTCTCCCATGCCTGCCTGCAGGCCCCACTTTGATCTGCAGACTGTCCCATGTGGCCCGCATGTTTCCCTTTATAGACCCCAGGGTCTTCCATTCTACTTCAACAATACAAGGAACTAGCTGCGGGGTTACTGCCACCTCTGTTAGCCTGAAAAGGAGCTGCTGGGCTGTGTATCATAGTCCCTATACTGCTCCCAGCCAAAGGAGAGCTAAGTTTTTATTAATTTGTATTATCTGTTTTGCGGCAGTGCCCAGGAGCCCCGTGATGGACCAGGGCTAGGCACGGTACAGACACAGAACAAAAGGACAGTCCCTGCCCCAAATTTTAGCTCCTCTGTCTCTGAGCAGACTAGAGGGAAAGCAAAGTGCTTTCCCTCTTCTGCTCCTCTGTCTCTGAGCAGCTAGAGGGAAAGCAAAGTGGCTTTAATTAATTTAATTTAATCCTAGGAGGCCACTGGTGGCTGCTACTTTACCTCTTTGGTCCAGCAGAAGAACACAGTGACACAACACAATGTATCATAACATTGGCATAGGAAAGTCATGACATTGTCCCACTGTGTGACAATGCATTGTGATCACATCCACTCCAAAATAATCCCTGACTCTTCAACCGCTTCAGGCTTCTTCTTCAGGACATGGGGATTCAGACCAGGCACCAAGTCTTACCCAGTTTTTAGAGGGAGATTCCCTCATTTTAAATTATTTTTAAAGCAGTTTCTCATAATTATGATGAAGGATTTTTCTGTGCTCATCGATGTGCCTTACAAAATCTACACCGGACTATTCTGAAGTTTCCCTCATTTAAACCATCACCGCTTGATGGCCCCATAGGATAGACAGGAATCCTTCTGTCGGGCAGCATCCCACGTTATAGGAGTCTCGATCCCATGCTGCAGCACTGGGAGGTTGATTGACAGATATACATGCTTCTGAAGCCCGTCATCACAGGAAGCACTATAGCACTAGCCACAAAATCTCATTTACAACTTTCTGCAGTGGAGCCATACAGTGGAGTCTGGACTTGGTCTAATTCCAGTAGTAGGTCTATTCCTCCACTAGGGGGAACTGTGTTTATGACCACAGATACAGTCTATAACTGGAACAATCTATAAACATCTGGAGGATATTAGGGCTGAAAATGGGCATTCCAGCTTTATTTGCTTTAGATGTACAATGCTAGGCATTGCTATTGGCCATGGGGGTGTTTCGTTTACCATACAAACCAGGGAGAGATCATGGAGATTGGCTTGCAAGATTTGTTACTGTAAATGGGTTTATATAGAAATTGGTCATAACTTCTCAGGACAGGGTTGCTTGCTGGAGGAATTCCGTCACTCCAGAGTAGAAATAGTGCTAGGTAGCCCACACTGTAACCCAGGAATCTATATTGTAGCTGGTTCATCAGTATATGTAGCATGGTGCTATCCAAAGAGGAGCAAAGTGGTAGCCGTTTTTGGTATGTTGGCAAGAAATTCTCAGCACACCATAAGAATTTAAGAACTGCCATTCTGGATCAGACCAATGGTCCATCTAGCCTAGTACCCTGTCTCCAATAGTGGCCAGTACTAGAGCTTCAGGGGGAGTGTACAGAACAAAGCAGTTTGGAATGATCCACCCTGTCTTCCACTCCCAGCTTCTGGCAGTCAGAGGTTCAGGATCACTCCGAGCCTGTGGTGCATCCCTGATGATCTTGGCTAATAGCCATTGATGGACCTATCCTCCATTAACTTATCTAGTTCTTTTTTGAACCCAGTTACACTTTTGGCCATCACAACATCCCATGGCAATGAGTGCCTCAGGTTAATTGTGGGTTGTGTGAAAAAGGACTTCCTCTTGTTTGTATTAAGTCTGCTGCCCATTAATTTAATCAGATGAGCCCTGGTTTTTGTATTTTGAGAGAAGTATTTACCCTTTCCATCAACTTTTTCCACACTGTTCATGATTTTATAGACCTCTCTCATACTTCCTCTTAGTCATCTCTCTTCTAAGCTGAACAGACCTTATCTTTTTAGTCTCTTGCTCATATGGAAGCTGTTCCTTAGCCTGCATCATCTTTGTCGCCAATCTCTGAACCTTTTCCAGTTCCACTATATTCTCTCTGAGATGGGGCGACCAGAACTAGACCAACCATTCAAGGTGTGGGCACACCTATTTATTGTGGGGGTTTCAAGTTGCACTTTTACAAGTTTCACTTTTCACAATTACTATTAATTATGTCCCCCCCCCCCCCCCCCCCCCCCCCCCCCCCCCCCCCCCCCCCCCCCCCCCCCCCCCCCCCCCCCCCCCCCCCCCCCCCCCCCCCCCCCCCCCCCCCCCCCCCCCCCCCCCCCCCCCCCCCCCCCCCCCCCCCCCCCCCCCCCCCCCCCCCCCCCCCCCCCCCCCCCCCCCCCCCCCCCCCCCCCCCCCCCCCCCCCCCCCCCCCCCCCCCCCCCCCCCCCCCCCCCCCCCCCCCCCCCCCCCCCCCCCCCCCCCCCCCCCCCCCCCCCCCCCCCCCCCCCCCCCCCCCCCCCCCCCCCCCCCCCCCCCCCCCCCCCCCCCCCCCCCCCCCCCCCCCCCCCCCCCCCCCCCCCCCCCCCCCCCCCCCCCCCCCCCCCCCCCCCCCCCCCCCCCCCCCCCCCGGGGCACAACCCTTAACACCGGCCTCTATTGATATTATTAATTATATTATATCAAAGGCCTGTATAGTGATTTGTAGACATCAAAATAAAACAAAGTACTTGCCATGGGGAGCTTGCCCTATATTTTAAGCATAACACAATGACACAACAGGAAAAGACAGCAGATCCTAAGGGCATACTTGACAGGGTGTGGTAGTCCTACCTGATTAGAGTTAACTAACTCCCATTCAGACCTCACACAAGTGTAGAGTGGGGTAATAAAGCAGGGTTGGGGACCAAATCAGGTTGCCAGAGCAAACCCTGGAAACTATATAAACACTTACGTGGTAAATACAGGGGAAGCGAGGTAATCAGATACTCTGTTAATTGATAGATAGAGTCTGAGCAGTAGCCCCCCTGTCCCCCCATTCAATCTTGGTTGATTCTGCATTGGGTAACAGTTGCTTTTTCCTTTTGTTATAACCTGTGCACAAGAAAGATCAAGAATAAAGCCTTGGAGAAATGCTTTGCTTGTTGAAAGCCGTTCTTTTGTTGCTGGACCAGCTGACCCAGTCCACAAAGGAATATAGTGGGGAGACAGACACAGGGAGAGGATTAAAGCTCCAGGGACATTTTGGGGCTTGTTTATACACTCAAGGTTACAGACGTTGCAGGTGTCATAGGATGTTAATGTGACATTTTGCACAAACTTGCACAGAATACTATGCTGATGGGTACATTCTAACACTCTACATAGATTCTGTCACTGTAATATCTGAGCCTTGTTTCTCAAACGAAAAAAGAATATATGGTAATTTTCCTTAAATAGGGAGTGAAGACCCTGCACCTTCCCACGTCAGCAATGAGGCCCACCCTGAGCTGAAGTTTAACAGCCAGGTAACCAGCTTTGGAGGGGAAATTGGTCATGGTCTTGGAAGACACAGATCTAAATGACTGCACCATGGTTCCAGTGAATCAGATTACCCCCCTTTGGCCCTAGAAGTGGAGTTGCAATTCTTACAGCTAAGCAATCAGTGCAGGGCCCCCAATATCTGAATATTGCCAGATCTCCAGAACCACTACAAAAAATAGCCACTCACAGGGCACAGTGACAGTGTCAGACCTTGAAACCGGTCAGGAAACACTAACTGCCAGAAGAGGAGGAATTCTGCATCTACAAGGCATTCCCTCTGATGGAACCCCTCCCGTCTTTGACAGTCCCAGAGAGGAGAAATCTCAAAATCAGTTGGGAGGCATATATATGTCATTTAGAAAATGCTATGTCCCAAGTATTGGGACAAGCCTGTGGTAGAGTCTGAGCAGTACATTTGAAAGTTTCCAAGGCTTTCTCTGTAAATAAGAAAGAGGTATGTTTCTGCACAGGTTTGACTGTATGGCTAAAATAGAACCTGAAAGTAACCCAGAAAGAGAAGACTGATGTGACAGGTGAATAGATGAGCTAGGCCCCACCAAGAAGCATACACGTATACACATTATTTTGGATAATCTATATTCCAAGAGAAATCAAGGGAAACCCTAGATTATTTTTAAACATTTAAGGATTGAGGTTATTTCTAAAACTGGCTGACACCTCCAAAGCCCTGCAATAATGTCTATCCTCCCCCTACACTGAGCCGAGAATAAAAAAAAAAAAGCAATAGATTGGTTGGACTTCTCAACAGACTCATAGGATGGCCCAGAAAGCAGTAATCTACCTGGAAAGTAAGTACATCTGATAGGTATAGATTTGTCGTTGAGGATACTTCCACCTCTCCTGTATGACCAGGAGGCTCTTTTTCTCCATAGCTCACCTCTCATAACAGGGTAAGGGATAAAATCTGGTAGTTGTAATACCATTAAGACTTGTGACAGAGTTGCATAGGAGGGCCTGCGTTTGTTTTAGAGCTTCTGCCTCTATATTGAATATTTAACATTTTTCCATTCTGTCCCTTCAAAACAAACTCTTCCAGTCCAATGCATTTCAAAGTCACTAATAATATTTTTCTCCTTAAATGACCATTTCCACAGCAGTCAAGGAATGGTACCCCAAGCCTGGATCTGGACACTGGAGAACTGCATCTAGATGCAAAAAACTTCCTGTGTGAAATCCTGACCCCATGGAAGTCAGTAGCAAAACTCCCATTGACTTCAACAGGGCCAGAATTTTACCCCTTGGTTTTTCTTAAGAAGTCATATGCCAGACCTATCCTCTATGGAAGAGAGGTTTGCAAGTTCTCCTGCCTCTCCCATCTTCTGAGTAAGTAAGCACAAGGAAACAGAACTGAAGTTCTCCAGCCTCAGCAGAACTATCAGCTGTTGAACGCCATTATGAACACCATTTTCTATATTCCCCCACAAGGGAAACAACATTTCCCAATTTCCCTTGCAACTGCCCTATGGAGCAGTTGTAGAAATGTGGACGTC